CTGACAGGTGATTTCCTTTCTGAGCTCGTGACACTGAAGTGGTTCTGCTCCGCTGTTCTGTTCGTGTCACGTGACCGGCTGTTATGTGGCAGAACCGGTTGAACAGAAACGCTGCCTTCACGGAGCAGCAGTGGACCAACACCCAGCCCACGTCCGCCTGCTCCCGCCCTCCTACCGGACCCACCGGCGTCCACTCACCGGCCACCTGCAGCCGCACACGTGCCTGGAAGCTGCGGTTTCCCGGCAGCGCGGAGCTGCACAGGTAACTGCCCTCGTCTCCAGGTATCACCCCCCGGATGTTCAGGCTCCCGTCGTGCAGCACGCTGAGCCGCGGTACCGGGCCGGGTGGGCTCGGTGACGCCCCGCCGCCTCTCCCGACCTCCCGTCCGTCTCTGACCCACGTCGTCAGCTCCGGTGTTTCGTTACCGGAGGTGTAACACGGAAGTAGCACGATGTCGCCCGGCGCCGCGATCGGTTCGGTGGGATCACTGACCGAAACCGAAGCTTTGAGAAGAGAAGAGAGAGCCGATGAGTTGCGGGACTCACCTGCGGTCACCCGGATGGAGCAGAGACTCACCTGTGGCGCAGAGGCACAGGTGTAGGAGCGCTGCGGCCGCGACGCTCCTCATCATAACTCTGCTGCATCGCCTTCAGCCCAAAGTCAGCTAAAGGTTTCCAGTCCCGACCTGTCCGACTAGTCCACCTGTGGGAGCCACGAGGAGACACGCAGAGACTCACTGGGAACCAGTCCGCCCATTATACAGCCCAGAAGTGAGCGGCGGGCCACCAGTCGCACATGGAGGCCTTTATTCCGGGTCTGTGCTGCAGGTTGTGGCGGACGTGCTTTGTTTACTCCAGCATGTTGATCCCGGAACCTCCGTGTGGAATAAACCACACCCTGGACTCACCTGCTTAAAGGTACAGTAGCACCGCTCAGGTTCGCTTCGTTTACAGAATCTGGGTCAAAGAACACCAAGCGGGACAAGAGGCCACATGCAGCTGGATCAACATGCAAATAGAACTGAGTGATCAACAAACCTGTCCAGCTGGTTTGATGGGAATGTGTTCATACCTCCCAGTAAAGC